CCTGAGAGTGTTGCAAGAAAAGAAAAATGTAAAAAAAAAAAAAAAAAAAAAAAAGAGCTGTAATGAGGTCCTCAAACTGCCATGTTCCTAGCACTGACTTGGGAGATCCTCTCGGTTTTGGATCACCTGTAAGCTACAGTGACACTGCTACAGAGGGTAGTCTTTCACAGCACCAAGCAGTTGCCCTTGGAAGACATGCGGTCTTATTCTTACTCTCCCTCTCAAAGCCCACAAGCTGAATTCCCAGTGCTATTTTGTTTTTAAAACAAATGTCAACCAAACAGCCACCTGGAGCAAAACCAGATGGAAGAGGCTTGCTTTGAACCAGACATCAGGAGTTTCCCTATCCCGCAGCTCAGCCCACGGGCCATGTCAATATGGATGTACCCTCCAGATCACTCGATTCTCTTTAGGTCAATTTTAGATTTCTCAAATCAGCAAGGCATTTTTTTTCCTTGCAAACTAAAAATATCTCTTACACCAATATATGTACGAACATAACACCAATGATCGAATGCTTTGTGGTAAGCTTCCAAAGTTCTTGCTACAGGGAGTAGAAACTCCTGATCTGGCTCAGGTCAAGCTAGGCTGAACACTGGAAACACCGGAGCTTGGGCAGCACAGTGTCTATTCGGAAGCAGGTTAAATTACGCAGAGGAGAACCCCACAATTATGCTGAGGTGGTTCTTGGTACCAAGGTACTTTTGTGACTTTTTTACTGCACTGTGATGTAAACTCAGCCTGTGATTTTCAAAAGCTAAAGATCAGTCGTTAAAATGCAACTCATTGGACAGTAATAATATTTTGTCAATTAAACACACACACCCCTTGCCAATGGATTGTTTTTTTTTCTTTATACCTTTGCTGCTTCTGCAGTACCCAATAGTACAAAGGGCTACAGATGTGGCTACAAAAAAGCAACTTCCGTTTTGTGAGCTCCAAATAAACTTGCAATTCACAGTCCTTAAGATTGGGAAAGCTTAAAAAAAAAGCTTAGAAAGAGAAGAAATACAACATTTCAATAAGAGGCCATTAGTTTTAACTGTTCCCAGAAGGAGGATCTGCTGAGAGTATCATAGCAGAGTTTCTATATAAGTTATTGACCTGTTTATTCCCCACTTCAAAAAATGGTAGGCATGAAAAGCAAAAATAAATGAAAGCTACTAATGACCTTTAACAGGTATTTGCAATGGCAATGCCCCAGTCTGAGTAACAGACTAATCCAGCCCTCTTTCTCAACTCCTTGCGCATCCCCGGCCAAACCAAACAGTCAAAACCCCAAACCCTAAAACAAGGAATTGAAACAATTTCAGTGGCGATTGGAAAGTCCCTTTGCCACCAGGGACTGGTACTTCTTCTCAGCTACAACACAGACTCTTAGAAACCTCCAAGGAGATGGCTAGTCTGGGGAAGTCTTGACTTGTGGCACCCAGGCCACAATAATTTATGCTTCCATAAGCAACAGTATAATTATGACTGTAGCACTGTTCTGCCTTCCAGACTTCGGTAATCAACATCATTAACTTCTCCGCCCCACTGTGCCTGTGGTAATTAGTCACCAGTATTTTAATATTACCTCTGCCAGCTGGAATAATGCTGATGTTCCACACTGTTTTGTTAAATCAGAAGAACCTGAATGGGATGTACTTGAAGAAATCTAAAGAAAAAACAGAGGGGGAGAAAAAAGAAAAACATTATTTTACTAGCACAATTCTTTTATGTTTACCACACAGCTTTTGAATGGATTATTTCCTCCCTCTTCCAAAAATTCATTCATAAGATTACATACTGAAAAAGAAGTGCAGACCTGTGCATGCTGTTATAAATAAAACCCTGCTCCACCATTGCTACGGTGGGTAATACCACTGGACACTAAAAGCTATTTCCAGATTTGGGGATCTTCTTGTCAGAACTCCCTTTGAGGAGCAGGATGAACTGGAGCACATGCTCTCTCACACATAAACAGACGCCAGTGGATAAGCAGCAATCTACACCAGCATGCAACCCAGCTGGTGATGTTTTTACAGGCTTAGTTGGACATTTGATTGCAAAATCATTTCATTGTCATAGCTTAAGAAGGTTACTCCTGTCAGGCTATGGCACAGCCTGTTAGTGTCCTATAGGACTCATAAAAGAGATGTTATGAAACCAAAGTGAAGTAGGAGCCTTCAAGCCTTTGGTAACCTTTACTACTCCTCAAGAGTACGGGAGGCTGTCTGGCAAGCAGGTAGCTGATTATTCTCCAGAATCTTTTTCCTGTAACAGGTCGTGATCCTCTTCAATACTTTAGAGTGTTTTGTATCAGTTTTGAGCTAGGTGCAAAGAAATTATCTTTTTCTAAACAAATTAAAAGGATCAGTCTCAGAATTGGCCATCAGTATGAAGAAAATGTTCTATTTTTAAGGACATATCCCGTAATCTCTGATCAGGCTTCCAGGTTTCTTATACTTGCTTCCTTAGAAAGAGGGGGAGTTCTAGGAGCTGGGGAACTAAAATGTTTACAACCTTTTAGCTCCCCCTATCCCTCCAAACTCAGTTTTCATTGCTGTCAACCAACACAGGTCCAGAAAGTCGATTTTGCAGAAATCAACCCATCATTGCCGTAAAGGAAATAAATAAAAAAAAAGTTTAACAATGCTGTATCTCTATGTCTCCTGGAAGGTGCAGCTCTTCACAGCATCTCCCAAGCTCTATTACAGATCAAGTCTCCAAACGCCACTTACAGCCAAGCGTTGTTAGCGCTGTTGGCACTCTGTGGCAGAAGTGGCCTCCTTGCCTTGTGGAGGTGACGAGCACCCCCACCACTGCCTCCCTTCACTCTCATGCCTCCACACTGAAGGCTAAAGACAAAGCATGCATTTAGGCACAGGAAGAGACTCAGCAGATATGATCAGCAATGGCCTCCCAGGCTCCAGACTGCAGAGTGGCTGCTCCAACCATTTTTAGAAACTTTGAAATTCTCAGAATTTTTCAGAAAATAATTTAACCCACTTCTGCATTTTATTTTATCACCATCTGTGAAATACTGTGAAATATCAAAAAGGAAGGCATAGGGAAGGGGGGTAGGGGTGTGTGGAAAAGATAAAATTGGTTAATCCACATAGCAGAGAGATGAAGGAGGAGCAGAGCAGTGTGGTGTGCTGCTCCCACGCGCCAGACCCCTGCCATGCCAGCAGCATGCAGACAGCAGTCGAGTCCCCTCCAGTGCACAGCATCCGTGGTTTGGAGTTACAGTGGCATGGCACAGATGTCTGCCAAATGAACTTGCAAACCTAAGACACCCTTGAGGTGATAATGAACACAGTTTATTTGGGATGCTCCAAACCAGGTCCTGAACTGCTATCTGAAAACTGAAGCTGATCTCTCATTTTATTTATTCAATTACAATCCAACATTAGAGATCTCCAAAACTGGGCGGGGGAGGAAATCAATAGCACTAATGTCCTACAAGAGCTAGAAACAAGGAGGACGTGCTTAGCACATCTGCCATGCTTTTCTCAGTTTGAATCAGAGCCTTTAACATTCATTTTGTGTATTAAATTAGGCTTGTAGGAATCCATCTGAGCAATCACTGAGAGCTAGATCACGGAAACCTGTCCAAAACGCAAATGTCATGCTGCCAGACTTAGCTTCACTTTTCCCACCAACTGCAGTACAAACTCTGCACTCCAGTGGACAAGCACCTGTCCTTCCCCCATATTAGGGCTTCACAAGCTTTACAGTCACATCACAATTTTAATGCTGACTTCCAAAAGTCAGGCTGCACTCAGCAACAGCCTTACTCCAGAACAGCACTACTCAAAGCCTGCTGCTGTCCTGTACGAGGACACCTCAAAAAACTTCTGGTGTCCCTGACTAAATATTATCAGCCTTTCTGCTGTCCCAGGGCCGCAACAGTCAAATGCCCTTATGGATCACTGATCACAGTTAGGAGTAATCACCCTTGCATAGGCACTGCTGACAACATAGCACACACCCACAAACTCTACTACTGCCAGGGACTGGCTGTACAGTAAGGCCCATTTTCTTCCACTCACATAAGTTCCTATAAAGTCAGATAGTAGCATTACTATCCACGGAACAAGGCATGAAATACTTTTATTTCAGTGCTTCCACATTTTCCCTGAGAGGAATTACCTTCACCAGCAAGAATATATTGCTGGATGCCACTAGATGGGATCCGGAGAACCATTTTCCTCACTGAAATAGGAAGTGATTTTGAAAAAAAAGAAAAAAAGGGAAAAAAGTGTACACATAAGGTGCTAGCATCTTCCCTTATTTACCTGGAATGCAGCACGTATCTTCATTTTTCGATCATCAAGAAGTGTAATATTTGCACACCAAGCCTCAAAGGTTTTTGAGTGATTCATACATATCAAATGGGAGACCTCTACAAGGTTATATTTAAGACTGTCAGAGAATTTCTAGGACTGTTGGGAAACCTGACCTAGTATTCTTGATTACTGCTGACAGCTGCCAATTTCAGAACTTAGACTGCTTCAACTTCCAACTCTTCATACAGGTTCCTGATGATCTCAAAAGTCTACTTTTCTCTTCTTATTCTTGGTCCCCGTTCAGCAATGCACCTTCCAGTCCTTATACCAAAGCTTTACTTTTTGAATCCTGGTATTCAGCTCCTCATTAAGAAAAATGCTGTTGTCTCGTCTTTGCTATTGCCCTGAGCATTGTTTTTATTATAGTTACAAGGGCAATTTTTCTAAAAAGAAGTGTAACTTTTTCTGTGCAGTCTCCAAGAAACTATGCACATTAACAAGTATATAAAGAAAAGCTAGGTCCCTGGGGCCATTGCCACTGCCTAATTCTATTGCTATTCTATTATTTACTAATTTAGGCTTCTGGAAATACCAAATTTGATACTAGAGCAAACCTTACACAATTCATACTTTTTTGGGGAAAGATACACACATCTTCCCATTGTGACGCTAATGGGTATAACTTTACCTCTGCCAACTGGAAGAGTGCCGACTTCCCACAGTGCTTTACTGGCTCAGGACTTGACAACTGAGAAGTATTTGATGAGATCTAGGTTTTAAACGAACAGAGGAGAAAATATTTCAGTGGCACACAGGAAAGACAGAAAGAAAGGGAGAAAAAGAATGAAAAAATTAAGGAGTTAGTTAAATCAGTTACTTTTAGATCTTTCTGGCAGAAGGCCCTACTTCAGACAGGCTATCCCATCCAAGAAACACTTAACAGGCATTTAGAAGTCAGCAGGATACAAGCAAATACAGAATTTCTTCCTTAGATTAGGCTCATGGATTCTCTTCTACGTTTGTATTGTCCACAGCTAATATTCTATTATACCATGTGTTTTACATGTGTTTTATGTGACTAAGTAAGACATACCTGTTGCTTAAAAGCATGAAATGTGGTGGTCAAGGTTAAATAAAATTCTCCCGGAAAGCCTGAGCGGTATTTGGTTAGATACAGAAGAGGACCGTTTGTCCTCACAGGCACTGCTTGTGTCTCTTTCTTTAGTTAGAAAAAAAGAATGAAGACCTTACGTTTGGAGATCAAATCTAGCCTTCTAAATACATGTTGGTGTGCCAGCACCAGCGCTGAGTAAATAACAACCACTGCACTTCAGGGAATTGCTTTTGCAGCCAAATTTTTTCTGACCTGTTTCCAAGTGCAGCATTATGAGTTCACCAACGCAAGAATTAATCATTATTTCTCATATTTGATCTTTTTTGGCATGGCGTTACATGGTAGTATTTGACCTGGAAGCCCTGAAAAGCCCTAAGATTAGGGGCAAGACCACCAGTGTTTCCGTGGCATCTGCCTCATCACAAAAATCATGCTTATGGCCATGATCTTTCAGATGCAAAAATTATCAGCTTAGCCTTTCTCTTTATATTTAATGTCTTTATTTTGAACTAGATTATTTGAAGAGTTTACTTTTCAATTGTCAAGGAGATTCATTACACCCCCCCCAATCCAGAACATCCATTTACTGCAAGCTATTTAAAATATGGTGAATAATACTTGAATGTGCATTAATAATAATTTTTAGCATTAAACTAAAATAATTCAAAATCCTAGTTTTGCTTTGAGACAGCTCAGTGAACCTGCTCAGGACCCCACTGGAGTAAGTGATCTTGTACACTGCACTTTGCAGGAAGAGGGCCTCAACTTTTTATCTTTCTACCGTAATAAATTCTCAGCCCTTAATGATTTTTTCAGTGCAATATGAATGGCAGAAAAGGGACAGAAGAACACCCACACAGCGAACTATAACCTGAGAACATGCAGGCATATCTTGCCTCCTGATGCACAATGTGAGGAAAGAGTAAAGAATTTCGTTTTGACAATAGAATGGGTGCTCCTAACAAAATGCGAGATCCTTATAGTACTAATAGCAAGAGGGGAAGCCAACATTTCACTTCAGCAAAAAAATTCTCTTCATAGTCAAGAAATCAAACTGCAAGAGCCAAACTTAGAACTCATTCTGCCGAAGTTGCTGGCCAAACATCAGAAGTAAGAGGATGGCTGATCAATCAGCTCTCAGTGAGATTACAGATCTTATTCCCTGTCTCAACACCATCTTCCAGTTTTAATTAGAATAATCAGACCCTGCAGTACTACAACCACAAATAGCCCCTTCTTATGTAGAGGTTTAACTTGGGGATCATTAGGATCAAGTTATTATATTTTATTACAGTGCAGGTCAGCATTTTAGCTACTATATTACATTCTAGTTTGCACAAGAAGCATGTGCCATGGTACCACTTTTTCATTTCCCTCCTAGAATAGGCATTTCACTTCAACACAGATATTTAATAATTTCAGTATATAGGCAAACAGCAAATATATTAGTCTATTTTACGTAACAGCTTTACCTGGGAAGATTACAGCTTTACCTAAGGGAAGGCTGGAAGAGAAAATACTAACTCTCGCATTCCCAAATTCAAGGCATTTTGACCAAGAGTTTTACATTCAAACGTTCTGTTCAGCACAGAAATAAAGAGAAAGGGCTGCCCGCAAGCCCAGTCAAAGTGAGTAAGTGAGAATGCAGCAGTGACAAAATCATCCTCAAGCATGCATTTTTCTTAAGTGATAGTAATCTGCTGGACTAGCAAAGAAAATTCCACCTTGTTGCATGCTGCATGCAATTGTTTTTTTGATTAAATCACCTAGAGAAAAACTTCAGAAAAGCAGCTGAAAGTGAAGAGTTTGTGGTTTTTGGCTTAACTTTGTTTTTAAGATGGGTGAACTAGCAATTTTATTGCTTCCACTCTCAGGAAGCATTTTCTTTGTTTAATAACAGATAAGAGTTTAGCTAAGTAAATCTAAGAGGTACTTGTGTTTCTTCTCTATAAAGCAGTCATCACCATCTGTTCGCATTTGCCAAACACGCATCCAGTAAGACCAAGAGAGCAAGGGGTCCCATCTGCTCTGCTTCCCTCACATGACAAGGAGGATGACAGCAACCAGCCCATGTGAGCAGACAGCTTGCAAACAGCCACCATGCTAAGGAACACAGCTCACTGCTCAGAAATCACTGGCCTATATAATGGCTTTCCGTAAAGGTACAAATGAGAAGGACAAAGGTAGGGCCAAGTATTTCCAAGATCACAGTGGAATGAGAAAGCCAAGAGCATGACTTGGCAACACTCCAAATTTCAAAAAACTCTTATGATGACATCACATCATCTTCAAAGACCTCCAAGGCACTTGCCTGCACGCCCGCAGGACCCAACGAAGTCTTACTCCCAGGACTTTCATTATCTGTTGTGGCAAGTCACTGGGCTGGCCTCATTAGCCATATCCTCAATAGCTTTAATTGAAGACTATAGCACTTGGGACAGACAAACAGATGAAAGGCTAACTGAGGCTGTAAAGAAGAAAGAATCCCATGCTATGTCTACATATAACAAGCTGTTTCTGAGTGACAGGGGACTTGTACTCCTGGGGTAAAGGTGTCCATTTTAAATGACAAGTCTACTCAATGCGATTGCTGTCTTCACAAAGAGGCACTCTTACTCACCCTGCTGCAAAGGCGGCGAAGAGAAAGGGAACATATGAAGAACACCCAGCCAGAACCAAAACTGAGCTGGGACGCCTGCCAAAAGTCTCCAGGCACATCAGACCACAGCACACTCCGCATTTCTTCACAGGTCTACTTGGCTACTGGCTAAATAACTACTTTCTCTCCCTCTCTCTTTTCTTTTGTAGCACTGCACATTGCTGACAGCAGCCTACTGCAAATTGCTTATCATAATTTAGCTTACTAAATGCAGTAATGCGTTCATATAGACAGGACCCAGTAAGAAGTGGCACAGTAAGGAACAGGGTTTTTGCCAAACCTGACAAAGACATCCTGTGCAAATGAAAGCCTTTGTATTTGAAATAGCACAAGCAGCTTTAATAGCGGGGGGAGAAAGCTTAAAGAGGTTCTGTAGCATGCTCAATACTTTCCCTGGAACAACCGAAATGAAATCAGGCTGTGATCTTAAAAAAATGCCTTTTCTCTATTGCTATGGATAAAACATGATGTTAGTCACTGCCATTAAGATTTCACAACAGTATAACACAGGAGAAATAACCATGGCCAACAAGGTATTTTTTTGTTTTCTTTTTGTTTTGTTTTTTGCTTTTCCAGATTTCTGTCCCTTATTTCCAGACACTGAAAAAACAACCAAAAAAATACAACCCCCTCCAGACTGCACACACATTTTAATATTTTTACAAGAAAAAAGAGATTAACCCTGACTTTAAAGCTGTCCTTTCCAGTTTCTAATTAACTTTCTAAGCACCTCTTCTGCCTAACCTTTGATGATTCATACATGCACTCCAATGTGCCAAATGAGCTGGCTCAGTGTAGTAGTATGCAACTCAATGCACTGTCACATCCGTATAACAATTTTCAGGTTTGTCATTTTGTTGTTTGTTCAATTAGGAGAGGAAATGATTTTAGGTTCTGTGAAATTTTGAAAGTATGGCTAAGTCAGGTTTTACATGACAATTTGAAAATGCTGTACTAAAGGCAATTCATACCCTGTTCAACTCTGCAGATATCCGAAATTGCTGTTTAATTAAAATGTAAGATGGCTAAGATTTTTGAAACTAAGTTAGCAGATTCACTCGTGCAATATTTTGCAATAAAATTGACAAGAAATGTTTTCCAGCTTATATCTTTTACTTGGTTTAAAAGGTTGGCGTCACTACATGGCTTCATCCTGCTCAATTCCACTAATTTTCTGAAAAGAACTTGCCAAATTAACTTGTAACTTCAAAAAAAGGTGGCACATATGAAAACATCTTCATGATTAGAGATATTAACTCTATTGTATCTTTTATAGGGGTGTTTGTAGTCAGGTATTTTATGGCACCTGAATCAGTAAATTGTTTTTTCTTAATTGGGCCTCCTAAGAAACACAAGGCCCATCCTAGCCAAGCTAAAAACGCACAGTACACAATTAGCTTAACATTTAACAGAAGGAAGCATGTTGTATGTAGTCAAACCTCTGTAAGCACACGGAATAACAAAGAGGGTATCCTTTCATCCCATTATGCTCCTCCACAATAATACCAGCTCTAATCCCAGTCTTTTCACACACCCTGAATATACCTTTAGCAAACTGATTCTGCAAGCAGTACCAGACTCCCCCAAACGGGCAAGAGCAGCATGTGTGGAAAGTCAATTCATAGAGGCACATTAAACACATAGGAGAAGAAATTCTTAAAAGCAATCTTTAAAGAACTCCAAATCTTCACTACATGGAGGAAGAAGGATAGTTTACATACTTATGGGTAATTTATAGGCTTTATAAGTCACCACCTAACGATGCTGTTACATATTCTTGTAGCTGTTGGGATAAGCTTCCTTTGACCGGCAAGGTTATTTTTCAAAGGATTCCTGCCTCTAGGGGAGTTGCCATTTCACACTGCTGCAGCCTGTTCCATAGGCAGTGCATAGTGTCATTTCAGAATGTCTTATTTGTTGTTTTCCTAGATGTAAATTAAAAGGCCATTTGGAAAATATGTCTGCAGTGGTCCTTTGGTGTGGAAGGCCAGGTAATGTTCACAAGCCCAGTACCTTTTGTGTATGCTACAGCTGGTAGAACTGGCCAACATCTCGTCCAATCACTGGTTATTCCCTCCACGATTTTCTTAACACAATGCTGTCATGAAGATAAACATCTACTGATGGGAATCCCTTACAAGACAGTGTGCTTCGCCATTCAGTGACAACTCTTACTGGTTCCTTGCTTCCTCCCATCCTCCCCCACCATATTTCAGCCATTATACCTCAGCAAACTGAAACAATGCAGATTCCTCGGTTTGTTTTACAGCTCCCGGGACTCCAGGCTGTGATGTGCTTGAGGAGATCTGTCAGGAAAACAATTACGTTTGTATTACCTAACTCTTCAGTTTCAGTATCAAACTTCAACGGGCTAAATTTCCAATCCTCATACAGAAAGACTCCTGGTACCTGAGAGCATGCAAACGAAGCCCAGCACACCTGTACAAAGAACAGTATCTGCTTTCCAGGAGACACATAAGTGGGTGATCTGTGAAATGGTCATCTTGAATTATTTTTCACAAGGAAAATATTTCCTAGGATCAATATAACAGTCTAAGAGTTTCCTGAAGAGCTTTTATTTGCCCGCTGATTTCAAAAAAGGGTTAGCAACTATATTGTATTTCACAGTTCAGTGAAAGACCTGAGACTGCAGAACGGTGGTGCTGATAGAGCACAAATTGCTACTTAGCAAGGAAGGTAAGTGTGGACAGGGACACAATGCATGCAGGTACTTCGAGATACCAGATCTATCCCAGACACTAAGGTAACTGCATTTTATACTGTTAAACTTGTGACAATTATTTTTTTTGCAAATGACACCTCTGATTAATGTTAGGCCTTGGTACAAGTACTGATTTTTTTTGCCATTGACACACATACCTACCATGCACTGGTTAGGTGCAGCCTCACTACAGGCTGTTTAACATCCTTAAAAAGACAGACTAGCTAATATGCATTTCTAATTACTGATCATCAGTGAGCTACTTCTAAACCGCATGTTTTAGCAGAGCAGATGAGCTTGTTTCCTGGCACCTACTGAAACTGTTCTTTGAGGGGTAAGGAAAAGCCAGGGGTCACAAGCCCTTAGCAAGAGCTTATCTTGCAGCCCACAACACAATTCCTGCCAACTACCACATGGCTCTGGCACTTTCCTGCTTGGGCACTGTAAAATGAACTGAAACAATTAACTGAGCCGGTATTTGTCTTACTCTTTTGAAAGACTGAAATTCAAGAAACAGACCGTTATCAAGAGGAACTATACGAAGTATGACATTGCTCAACTGACAGTATGCAAAAGCATAAGTATGCAAAAGCATCTTAGAAATGCTGGAAGATGGATGATGAATTATTACCATAGAAGTATCGTAAGTGACACTGGAATTAACCAATTTTAAGAAGCTTCTAAGTACTGCTTTTCATTGCTGGCACACCAGGCATTTCCTCTTCCTAACAAGAAAAGCCATCAGGTTGTTTAAGAGCCTAATTACAGGTTATGTACTTCACTGTGGCCATTACCCTTAATCAGAAATAAAGGATCAGTGCTTTATTTATAATACATTTTGAAAGCCTCAGATCGTAAGTTGCAACTCAAGGTCTTGTGGGTTGATGTTAAAACAAACAAAACCCAAACCAAACAAACAAAAAAAAAAATATCACATTTTCTGTGTGTTAGTATTGCAATGTATCTGCTCCGTAAGTGATGACATTTAGGGAGGAGTATGAAGGTGCATGCAACAATGAGTATTAAACACATGGGAGTCAGATTCACGGCTGATGTGAAAACAGGTAATAAAAAGGCCCTGCTATGACACAATTTCTTTCCATATGCACTGACTCAAACACCACCCAGCATCCTGTACAATCAATATTTATACAGCTAAATATTTATATGTCACTTGATTATGATCATTTCAAAAGTTGGAAAGATATAAACAAGCAAGTGAGGCTTGCAGAGGACCAGGATTCTTTGCAACCTCATTCTTGTTGTGTTAGTTATGTCAGTGAAATCCATTAAAACTTGGATAAAATGGTGTATACTTAAAAAAAAACAACCAACCAAAAAATCCCCAAACCAAAACACCACAGTTGCACTTCTAGCCATAACTGGAAATATGTTGACAAAAATGTTGTACATTGCTAAACTAAAGCATAGTTGCATAGAGCTATTTGGTGGTTATAGAAGAAAATTTTGGAAATTCCAGAACTAGTTATTTTTGATGGAGTCAACGACTAAAGCAGCCACAATAGATAAAGGACATAATGTAACATCCAAATATACATGTTAAAACTTTAGTTAGTAAGACTCTAGTTTAAAACTAAGTGCAGGAGTGACATCTCTAAATTACTGCTTAAACCACAGCTCCATTATTGCACCAGAGCTTCCACCATGCTCCTAAACACACTCTGCTGCACTTCGAGTCTGATCTATCTACCTGATACGTGATCCAGTACCATAAAACCAAAAAGAAGGAACAAATAAAAGCATGAGTTTTAGTTAAAGGTTTTTGATTTCTCTTTCAGCTGAACATCAGATGCTTCTTAAAAGGAAAACGCTGGGGAATACAACCCTTTTTAAAGAAACTCACCTCTGCGAACTGAAACAATGACGACTTCTGACAGGTTTCTGTAGAATTAGTTGCATCAGATTGGCAGGTACTTGAGGAAACCTGAAACAAGGAGTGTGCAGAGTAAGACCTCAAAGGTGCTTCTTTCGCACTAAGAACAGTGAGCAAAACAAAATACCAGGCAGCAGTAACAAGAAACAGTGTTTAAGAGAAGATGGGCAATCTCATGTTTCACAGTCCTGGACAGGTTAAATCAAATTTATAGGTGAAAACATAGTTTAGCACCCATTTTAATACACTTGAAAATCACCTCAGAAAGACCACAAAAATACCAGGGATTTTTTTTCCTTTTATAATTCCAAACTTTGCAAGAGACTTTTATGCAACAGAATACTAAACTGAGGATATTGGGCTACATACACAACTACCTCATATTGGTGATGCTATCAACACTGCTATATCTGTAATTTGTACTACCATTCTGAATACGGAAACTACTTAGAAGCTAAAAAAAATTTTTTTGAAGACACTGAGGGTTGCTAAGTGACACAAGTACTTATTAGAAAAATAATCCCCAATCACCTGACAGCATGAAAATAGGTAGTTAAGCCTAAAATTGCTCAAATAATATACCTAAACATCCATTTAGGGGTGCTTATGAGAAACAGTGCAAGTAAGAGTCGTAACTTCTGAAATCAAAATACAAAGATATGACTGTTCAAAAACAACAGCCTTACTGGAACTAACACTGAGCTTAGCCATACTATTCTTATTAGCCAGAAATGTGTTAATCAAGCATCATTCTGTAAAGGAATTGTACCAAATACGATACATTCATTAAATGTCACATTTGAGTGTAAAAGATTTACATGCATAAATCCTAGAAGCATAAAGTAGTTAGTATAAAATAAGGTACGTAACATGGCTTATAGGAAACAGAAGAAAGGAAGGAAGCTTTGTGGGATTTTAGGAAAATAACAGGATGGATTGTTTTCTCCCTAACCATTTTAATTCTTTCATGAAATTTCAGTTTATTTAAAATATTTTGCTGCTAATGTGTTTTTTCTCTTATTGATTACCAAAACCAGTATGTCAATAGCATTTATTAGTGAATGCACACATGAGATTTAGCTAGCAACTGCATCTGTTGCCGGTAAGCACAAAGCACCACAGAATAAGCAGGCCTACAGCACATGCAGTTTGTACTGCTGCTCCTGCTGCTGTTTGTCCGATACGCTTAAGCACTGCAAGAGCACCAGTAGCATTTTGTTTCAGGAATCTGCTACCCATACCCCCCTGAAAACACTAAATCCAAGTGTAGCAACCCACAGGCCAAGGGGAACCATACCACACGACAATTTGCTTACGTACACAGTCAAACTTGTTTCTTCCCTGCCATAAAACCAAGCAGTAACAGTGCCTCCTATGATCTATGCTTCCATTATATTTATTAAACACCAAGCAGGATGTTTTATCAGTGTACTATGGGAGTATACTGACCCAAAGGGTTACAAATAATGTATTTTTAATGCCTGTCTTTTGCTTTTTCAGCGGTTTGTGTTACTGTTTTCACTGATGTAATGTTTATTACTGCCCTTCTCATGTTTCTGTATGATACATTTAAGAAGTCTGTGCCTCAGCAGTGCTGCGGATTGTACCAGGGATGCATACCGAACTTGCTGCTGTTGAGTGACCCATCTCTGAAGGTCTGAGTCCCTGCACTGGTGTGAAATAGACATGGCAAGCAGCATCCTTATATGAGCGCTCATTTGGTTATTTCAGGCCACTTCACTGGCGGGATTGTCCCAGGAATAAGCAAATTTGGGATTTGGTTCCCCATATAACTTAAATTTTCTGCAGTTCGACCAGCTGCCTTACGTAGCTTAGTTTGTGGTGTCTATTGAAGCAGTTTGTTTGCAAGCGGAGCCTATTCAATGTGCTGTACGAAAAGGCAGGAGAAGCTCATTGCTTAGAAGAAGCGATGTGAATGAGGAAGCTGCGTGAAATCCCTCTGCTCCCTGGGGCAGGCGCTGCAGGGCCACGCACGCCTGAGCTCTGCCCACCCGTCATAACGGAGACCGTGGCTTTGCAGCTTCCTCTGCCTATTTAGGGGCACGTCCACATGAACATGTCAACACGTGCCTGAGCTGGCACGGCACAAACCAGCTCTGAGTTGGGAGCCATTGACCTGTGCCACCCCAGGAGCACCGTGCTGGAGCGGAAAAGCCCTTCCGAAAGCAGTTATTACGGCTTAGCCCCTGCAGCACAAGTGCTGTAAGGCACCCGCGCCCCAGGCAGGTGCAGAGAGGGAGTCCTGAGCCTTCTTGCTGCCTCTGAGGGCACGTGCTGGGGGTTGGGCACAGCTTGTTCACCTTGTGGCACAGGAACCACAAGCTGTGGAAGATGCAAAGCCTGGTATCCTACAGCTTTGTGTGTAAAGGACAGATTGCTGGTGCCCAGTAACTCAGAGATGACTCTGTGGTTAGAACAACCATACTTTTCCTATCAATTTCCGTTATCTTTAAAAGTTAATGCTCTTGCCTTTGCTTGACAGAAGCACTGATTTGAGCATGTTTCTTCTACTCTGCTGCTCCCCACACACTCCTGACCTGTGGGAAAGTTACTATCTCCAGGACTTCTAACCTCTGCCAGGCTGAACCTGATCAAAGCGTTAAAATAATTACCGGAGGGAATGGATGCACAGATAGTGCCATCGCATACGTCTCATTTCCTGCTGTAATAAAACGTCCTCAGCATCTCCTCATTTCTTCTCCTCTTTCCTCCTTCCAGCTTACCCTCAGCTGCACTGAGAGATTTGATTTACACCCTGGGCAATACCACCCTGCGCAGACCCGGCACTGCATGCAAGATAACCTTTTGCTCTCAAAGAGAAGGAAACCACAAGGGTAATGCCTCCGTAGCCTCCCTTTCCCTGCAGGTTACCGTAACCTGCTCTAAAACGGATCACACCGAACGAAGGCGAAGGACAGCCCCTGGCTCACCTTCCACACTGACTGATGCGAGGCTTTAATGCCGCCCTGATGTGCCAGGCAGCAGCAAGGGGGGGAAACTGGTAGAAGAGCCAGGTTTTGGACCACGCTACAAATTCCGGGATTTCTGGGTGGTAACCCACAGACAGGCCACTAGGTGCTGCTGTAAGGCAAGCAAAGGGCCTGACGGGCAAGTAAGGGAGATGTGCAGGGAGGGAGGTAAGCGGGCAAGCAAGGAATGCTCCTCACCCAGCTTCAGTGCTCCTCACCCAGCTTCAGCCTTTCTGCTCATAAACCTGCTGTGAGGCCCTGGCTTTGCCTAGCACACGACAGAACCTGGAGCAGGCCCGTCTGGTGTTTCTGCTCGGGCGTTCAACAAAATATGCTCATATACACACCATAGTCCTGTGTAACTAATGAAAGGACCCAAGCACCAGGTGGAAACTCACTGCATATCCAAGTCCTTTGTTTTACTGCTGGTAAGGTCTGTAGATTCTCTTGCCTATCTGCTTAGTAACTCCAGCCACTGCTTGGAAATCAATCATGTACTGACACTGAATTCTGTTATCAGAAGAAAAACTCTCTAGTCTATTGAAAAAAATTACAAAAATAGGAACATAACCGGCAACACACAAAGATGGTGACTGAAGCCTCAAGGCAATTTTATAAATATCGCTGTTGTGCCTCTTCCCGTCCTCCCGCTGGCACCTGTTCACTTTGTTACCTGACATCTGGGCTCCTGACAACTCACAGGTTAAACACCTGACTTGAAAAGTCCCTATACATCCATTTAACATACACTTGACAGAAAATCAGCGGGCGCTGAATACATTTATGTAGGATTACGTAATGGACGTAATGGACGCAGACCTGTAGGTATCATTTCCTCATCTTCTCCCAAGTTCTGAGCAACCTATGCCAATGCTACCCTCCTTTCTATTAAATACTATTATCACCTTAAAAATTGTTAAGACCTATGCTTACAAGGCCACCCAAATCTGCATGATCATACACATGCACAAGCAGTCAAACTGCATGTTGACAGGTAATCTTACGTCTGGCGGTCCACCAGTTGAAGAACCATACATATGCATGTGTATCTTACATGTATACACACATGCTTTAATGATAATGAAGACTACGTGATATCATTTAGAGCATTCCTTTAAAAATGACACTGCATCTGTGTTTTTTTTTTTTTAAGAAATGCCAGGGTTTTAGATATGCAACATATATTTATATACTTACATGCATATAAAAATATATATTAAAAATACCTGCTTCTCAGATAGTGTAGGACAATTAAAATACGGTAATTTACTAATAAGTACGGGCTAATTTCTGTCCCATCATGATTCTAACAACACCAAACAAATCCCTCAACTAGTATTTATGACATTCATTTTGCTCTACGTTTTGGGGGAAAGCAGATTACACAAGTTGCCTGTTTAATGTGGAGGGCCGGGTTTCAAAAGAAGACTACAGGGCCAAAAGAGCACAGCATAGTATAGCTCATACATAAAGTAACTGTTACATCACAAGCCATATTGCATGCTTCTATCAGAAAAAACGAGGTTTATGTAGGCACATGGGAAATGTGTCTTTTGCTAAAAAAAAAAAAAAAGAAAATCCTGATTAAAAAAAACATTCATATACTAAAACAATCACACATCCTTTTTGATTTATCTCTAAATCCACATGCAGATTTTATTCCCTCACTGCTATCTGAAATCATACTACTTGAGGTACTTTTCATGTAAAACCAAGAAAGCTCAACTCACAAGGCCATAGCAAAGACCCTTCTTAATGGAACTGAGTATCTGTGACTACAACACACCTTCCCTCTCATTTAAATGTTATAGCATAGTAAAAACAGTTTTTAAACTTCAAGCTGAGAGATTCAAAGTTTGAAAACTACAGGACATTCTCATTTTAGCACAAAATAATCAATTTCTTTACATTTCTCTGCCAACCTTACCCTAGTGTTTCTTATTTTTCATACTGCAGCACAGAAAGCCAGTACCCACATCTGCATAAAGACTTCCACTGCTCAAACTGGTGTGCAAAGCATTGAGGAGTCTTAGCTCAGTCTTGGCAGTACAAAGCAACCCATCTCAAATGCACTACACATTTTGCATTTGGGGGTATCACATATAGATAGTTAATTATTGCTTTTCCTCCCAATAACAAAAAAAAAAAAAAAAAAAAAAAAAAGAAACCCTCCTCACTTCCATGGCTCTGCTTTCCAGGCTAGAGATTTATGGCAGTGACTACCTATTTCACCCAACATACAAGCCACCTCTTGAACAAATTTCAAAGCTGGCCCAAAAAATAGATCATAAATAATAATCAGTCTAAATAAAGACCAGGGATCTCTGCACTACTGGAGATATGTAGGAACACTTTTATTTACTAGACTCCTTTGTAAAAACAAAATGTTTGTGATGGCAACTGAACTACAAACTTCTTTTTAGACATAAAGACTTAGTGAATAGGAGTAGACTGCAATACTTTGATAGCCTGTTAGCACTTGCATGGTTTCAGAATGCATATATAATGACAGTGACTGTATGGAAATTATTAGGTATTTATTTTGCTGTTAGTGCCAAGGCCGCAGGTGTGTGAGGCATTGCACAAGCATATTAAATCCTTGCCCAAAAGAGCTTGCAAACCACCTGTTTGTTAACACAGTCACTGTATTTCAACCCTTCTACCTGTGACAATATCCTCTTATGGGGCAGACTTGCCAGGTCTGATCAAATATTCAGTCAGCGGAGTTAATAAGGAAACGATATAAAAACTGGGCCTAACCTCTACATTCACGGTTGGAATACAAGACTCATATCACAGGGCTCCCACTTCAGTCCCACCTGAGGTTACCCAAGATGCATCTTAACTTTCATTTACCACTGGTCAATTACTCCTCTTCAGAGCTCTCTTTAAATTGAGGGCTCGCAGTAAAGGAGAGAAGAGAGTTCCTTACCTCTTGTGCAGTCAGGGCATGTTCCCCTGCTAGAAGCAGCATACTCAGGCCTCCCATTTGTGTAGGATCTGTTAAAAGAGTAAAACCAAGTCTTAAGTTTATTCATTTGCTTGTTTAAAGAACCTACCATTTACAGCGTTAAACCCCCAGAAGACTACTTGTCACAGACACTCTAAGCAAACTGCCATAAAAGGCAGTTCAAGAGAATCACAAATAACCATTCTGTACCCTCTGGGAGAGGCCTTCAAAGCTGTTTGAAGGATTTAATTGGATTTGTGTGCTTAACACCCCATTGCGTGGATTTACAATTTTACTGCCAAAGGTTTTATGTGCTACAGAGATGGATATCTTTAAAACAGCAACTGCAATGATCTCATGCATAAATATACACAAAGATGCTCTAATATCACACACGCTTGTAGCTCAATGGATGCTCCTACCAAGGGAGTGGTTCCCCTCCATAGCCACTGAACCAGTAAAAGGATGGAACAAAATGACATGATCAAGCTCTGACGCAAAATTTCCATTTTCATTCACCTTTAATTTCGAGCTGCATTTAGTGGTGAAAAGTGCCAGCCTGACAGCTCTGAAGCATGAAGCACTTGATCCTCTGTGCCAGAACAGCACAGGCACTGGCCAGGCAAGCTGCCTGCCTACTCGTTGCCCTGCCAATACAATATATAATTGAGGAAAGTAAAATGGAGATATAAATGTTCTTTCTCCAAGAATTTGATGCTGACAGCCTTCCCGCACCTCAGGAGCTCGGAAAACGACAACAAGAAGTGAAAGCAATGAACACTGGCACTGCATTACTCATGGAGTGGCTTTTGCACTCAGAACAGTGGTTGCTCTTCATCATTATGAAGACTAATTGTCTGGTTTTGGGGGAGTGCCTTGGAAGCAATGCAGAGGCCTGATTTAACAGTGTCACGTAGAGAGAGGGAGACAGTCTGTGGCCCGAATGTCTTGCACAACAGCCACAACGTGAGAAAAAGGGAAGCATTATCCTTGCTGTGTTGCTGAGACACCAACTTCAGTAATGATGAGACACCAAAGATAAGTAACTTTCCCCAGGTTTCACTAAGCATGCACTCACATTTTCCAATTTCCTTTCACTAAACTATACAAAAACTCTCTCTACAACAATAAATTACACATGCCTGGGACCATTCCCTGGAATGGAGGCCAAGTGGCATAGTTACCCGTGTCCATTTGGTTGCATTTTGTTATGCAAAATTTAGATGCGGAATAGCTGCATCCAAAATGCCCACCAGGAAATCCCCTGGCCCATTCCCACTCATGAGCGGTGCCGAGGAATTTGTTGAGCTTTTCAGCTGACATGGGCCAAACCTGTACCTGTAAACCTCCAAACTATTTAGTGCTACAGATGATCAAGGTCCAGCTCACGGGAATACTCACTGGTGCTGTTTAATTCAATACCACAGATGCGGCCAAAAGTTCTCCCTCAGGCAGCATCTCGCACTGACATTCACAGGGTAAATTTTTTCAATACTCTTTTAGAACAGCAGTAAATAGAAGCAGAGGAAAGCAATGTGAATAAGCCAGGCTCATCCACTAATCTCAAGGATAGAAGAGTGGCTCATTATCTTAAGAACACAGCCTAAATAGCATCTGGCTTCAAACCCAGTGTCCAACTGGAATGAATTTTTTCCTTTACCATAATAAACAGGTAGATGGTGAGTGGGTTTTCTGTAGTTTTTTTTTTTTTTTTAAACTTTTTACTTTTAAATAGAAAAGGGAACAAAAGATACTAAGTTTCTACAAAGAGACAAGGCACTGTCAGAAGTGCAGGATCTAGTAACAAGAAGTGGTTGAAGAAATGGAGACAGAAAATGGGAAGGGCCAGCAAGTACCTAAGCACGATTCGTAAGTGAAGCGAGCCTGTCAGCACAGCACTTTTTGCCATCAAACTACTTGATCAGAAACAGTTCAGTCCTTCAAACAAGAGGACATCAGAGCAATTAAGAAGTGAGAAATGAACATGTATCTTGAAAGATAATGCCTGAGCAGGCAAGTTAATTTGGAGGAAGGAGAGATTGGAGGAGATCTCCAGGCCCATAATAAACTTACTGAGCTCCACATGAAAAAGCAAGGGCTTGGCTGGTTGCTTTCTACTTTCTTTATTCCCACTGGAAGACATTAAGAGCTTTCTTCCAGTTTTCAGCTTAAATCTACTCAGGGCCAGGTGGTACACTTTTTTTCTGGTCCCCGCTTCTTTAAGATTAAATAACTGTTCTCCCTAAATGGTATTCTCCTTCTCCGTTTACAGGAGTCACCCTACTCTTCTTCCACTTGCTTTCCTAGCCTAAGCAAATCAAGATCTCCCGGTGTCATCAAAGCATGCTCATCTCCCACAGTCCCAGTGATCCCTGTAGCTCTCCTCTCTGGTTATTCCAGGTGGAGTTCATCTTTCTTGTACGTGAATGACCAGCAGGGCAGCCACGTCCGATGAGCTGTGCTCTGTTCAATGGCATTAACTCTTCTCTACAGTTCCTGAAAACACTTTGCCTGACACACCGCAGTATAGCACTTAATCTTAAGCCCAGATCACACTGATTGCTCCCAGCTGCTCTCTTGTGCTTCACTTCAGTTACCTGTGGATCGTCTTCCCTCTCCTCAGTTTTGGCCAACTGGAGAACACCCAGCTTATGGCTCTAAAATTCTTCCCCCTCTTCTAAATACCTTCTTGGTGGTCTCAGCTTTCTGCCCTTCAAATAAGCAGCTTATCGTAACAGGACAAGGATAGGACTGTCTTTTCCCCAAGTAAGCAAATACTTAAACTGTTTATTTAAATATAAAAATTAAGAGGAAGGAAAAAAAATGACAGCTAAGTGTAAAGTGGAAGTTTAATTTGGTGCTTCAACAACTTGAATACTTATGCTGCAGCTGTAGCAGAAGGCTGGCACTTAGATGTCTGATCATGATAAAAACAAAAATCCTTCCACTAAGGTTTCAAATTACAAAATAACTTCATCTAAGGGAAGACAAAATGTAAATATGCAAACACTGTCGTATGTTTATAGTGCCTTCTCAGCACAACAATGTTTCTCTTATGGCACTAAGAACTTACTGGTACGACAAATTAAGAATTTTAAGTGCTATTTTAAAGCAATTTACAGCTAAAAAAATAGCACACACATTTGACTTGCAGAATGGGAGGCAATTCTTGACTTTCTCAACTGCTTTTAATATTGATGAAACGTCAAACCATCTCACTATTTGGGAATGACATACTTTGTTAGTATTGGTCTGGTTAGAAACTCAGCAGGCTGGCTTGTTCATCATCACAATTTTTCAGTCAGAGGAAAGAAAAGAACTGAGGAAGAACTAAGCAGAAAGGCGGCCGGCAGGTACCAGTTTCAACTAACTTTTACCTGGGTGCAGAATTAAGCTTCCTTCTAAAAAACAAAAATTGCATCTTTATCAGTATATTGCCTAATCTAGGAAAAGTCTTTTTTCCACCCTTTGCTTCACTAAAAAGCTTTTTTGCTCAGATGGTTTTCTTCTGATGCAGAAATGTGAAAGTATTGGGAACCCTGCACATATGTATAGCAATGCTGTTGCTCACTTAGCTCTGTAGTTGTGAGGGTAGATGCTACAATGGTCACGTTCACCTGTGAACAGCAGTTGTCTTTGCTCGGTGCCCTAAAACAGACCACAGGTGAGCCATGTCATGAGAAAAACATGCTCAGTTACAACTTCCAGGCTGGATGAGCAAAGACACAGCTAGTGGGTCTGCAGGTCGGAAGCCCAATGCTGGTGCCACACCTCAGGTTCTTGACACAATGGTAGGTCAACACGTGAAGCTTAAAAGTGGGGTGGTTATTGCTGGAATGCCAAAAGTAGAATGAGAGATATGGGCCATGTGGGACTTAAAAAAGGAAAGGAACATCTTACTCTCTATATATTACATTTTCCAAAATGAAATGTAATATGTAAAAAGGAATCAAGACAGGATTAACAACTACCAACAAGTAGAACAGATTTCCTGGAATGATTCTGGAATCATATAATTCCTGTCCTAAGGAAGCTATCTGCCTTGAAGATGCAAGACAGTCAGTAGCATTTCAAAGGTAAAAGTGCTTCTGAGGTGCTTCAGCTACATTTTAGTTCATCAGCTAGTACACAGCCTGGATTTTAAAAGAGGTTGTGCTGGATAGAAGAGTCAGAGGTGAATTGAACTATCACGTGAAGTCAAGGAGAGAAGAACACAACAAAACATATTTAGCACGAACTGGTATATAGTTGACAAAACAGTAATCCATTTGGCATGGCAGACTTGTCATGATTTGGATGCTGCTAACATCTCTGTCAGAAGCTGTCGTTATACTCAAGAAATAGCCAGCCTTCATTGGCACGAGGGCTGGAGTGAGACCCCTATGAATTACTATGCTCATTGAGTCAGTCTGCAGTAAAAATAAATTTAAAAAAAAAAAAAATCAAATCACGTAGCTCAAAAGGGCCTTCTTCAGAAATGAATGGCTCTATAGAGAAAACAAAGGATTAGATTCATTTCTAATTAATTCTTAAGTTCTCTGTCCTCTGCTCTGACAGGTGTTGATTCAAGATCCCTCTGTACTCAGAAACTCTACATTTGGATAGCCCAGCAGGAGCAGTGGGGGATGGCAGACAGGTAGACCAAGGCCTATTACTTGTTCTTTGCATTAAGTCAATAAACCTTTAAGGAGCACAGAAGTTACTCCTTTGATAGCAAAAGCAGAATGGGATGAAGGGGCTTGCGATTTTTAGAACTAGTCTCCCATATATCATAACTATGTAGCATGAAAAACTTTATTTTGATCACATTTCACAGTTCCTTCATAGCCAGAAGGAATTTCATTACAGGAATTGTCATACCACTATACTGGCAAAAAGGTATACATACCTTTTTATCCCTTTTTATCCTTTTATGCTTGTTCCATAAAACCATTTTCCACTCTTCAGCTCATGATCTCTCTAAGAGGAAAAGTCCTATCTGCCACACACTTGTCATAAACTAGGTAGGATATGACAAAGTTTCAAATACACCAGTATTTGTAAAATTAGAAACTTTAAACAGCAAAAAGAAAAAAAAAAAAAAGAAAAAAGGGGGGTGGTGGAAAAATTATTTTCTACCTTGACTGTTAGGTTCTTAAGCTGCCAGTATTTAACATTAATATCTCTGTATTTCAAGGTCAGGATTGCAACAGTTCTGCTATTTGTGGATATCAGTGAGAGATTATCTGCCTTTCACCAGTTCAGGCGCCCCACCTACCCTACCCTTTTTCACAGATTTGAATTTTTTTTTTTTTTTTTAATGTTTAAAAGGTTAGAATCCGCCCCTCCAAGGTATAATGGGCAAAAGAGCATATTTTAAGTGAAATTAAATTACTCTTCTCTTGATTTAAATACAAGAAGTTAGCTCCAGCAGTACATTAATCCACAAGAACATTAACACCTGCAACTTCATAGACACCCATAAATTATTTTTGTAAACAGCAAATTACCAAACATAGTACAATGCTCTATGAAAAAGAATGCACACAATCAGCATATTCCTTTTTGACTAGAAAATGAAAATCTCTAACAGCAGATAAGCTGGAATTAAAAATCAATCAAATCTGGACCCCAAATGGGATATGGGTTATAATGCCATATATCTGGACTTGACTCTTGAAAGCAATCATGCACTAAGGAAAATTTTGGGAAGTTGTTATGCAGAGGTTTAACTAGAGTCTTGACAATCTAATTTGGGACATGAAAGTTAATTGCACTACAGTACCATGTGCAGTAAACTGGTATCACAGTTCGATTTCAACAGCACATCCTCAAACAAAACGAGGATGCCATGTCTGAGTAACATGGATGGAAATCTCACCTGCCATCCCGAAGTTAAGCTGTGGCATTTCTTCGCTTTTTGTCACTTTTCTTGGGCTCGGTAAATCTTTTGCAGTGTCTGATGCAAAGGCCCATAGCTTTTTCCTGTTTGTAACAGTGGATGCCTGGGTTTTCACAGGTTTGTTTGTCGTGGGGCACCACTTGTACCCTGGATTTGCCTTCATAAATGCATCCTTGTACTAGAAAAAAAAAGGAAAATTACCAGTCAATGCCAGTCATGACATTATACTATCCACAGGGCCATAGAGTGCACTGCGTGTAAGAGGATTTAATACAGTAAATAATCCTTAAATATCTTGATTTTTTTTAACAGTTTAATCACATGCTTAGAGTCTGACCACCAACACAATCTATTAAGAAGAAATATTAAGATAAGTAGAACTGTATTTAGAAAAGTGGGGTTTCTCTTTCCTTTCCTGTGGGTTTATCACCCAGAGCAGGCTGAAGTTTTGATCCTGCAAACTGCTCCCCAGTGCTCGTATGCTCACTCTCTGTGGGAAACAGACAGTTATTTGAATTCTTTTGCAGGTACAATCTTTGTTTACTTTCTAGTTTGAATGAAATGAAAACATACATTTAGCAGTAAATGCAGCACAATGCTTCTTACCTTGCACTCATTTTTCTCTAATAGTTCTGTATTTTAGAATATTTGAGTATATGCTTTCCCAAACCAGGCACCGAAAATAAACCAAAACCAGTATCATCTCATTTTCAGTAACTTCTGATACATCATCCCAGCGTTCCTGCCAAAATGCTGCATGGCTGCGTAAAATAAACTGGAACCGTTTAAGACTTTCTTTGGCCTTGAACACACAGCACACATCTCAGTTGTTTGCTATATTCTTGGTATGAGGCAGCAAAACGAACCAAGCCAGACTACACACGGGGGGAGGGTGTGGGGGTAAAGGTCTGGATCCTACACAGTTTGGGGGGTAGGGGTAAGGATGGGGACCTATTTTATTCACAAAATGCAACAGTGACATTTTCCAAGTAGCTTGCCAACCAGACCAAAACAAGATTTTTGAATGTTAACAGCAATAAAAAGAACACATTTCTGTATTTTAAATGTGTTGCTATGCCAGGTGGAGAACAGGCGAATCAGAGGAACATGCCACACATTCCAGCTGCAAATGTTTGCCTAACAATTGATACGGGTGTACAGCACTGGCCGCTGTGGGAGCCTACCCAGTAAGTACCAGCGCTGAATGCAGGGAGAAGGAACCCAATACCTCCTCATGCGCTAGGTAGCTCTCGATGGCAGCAAACGACCAAAAGAGTGGTTTTATCCTGAAGTACATGGCAGAGCAGCTGCAGGAAGTGTCTTCCATGATTACACATGTTCCCACCCACCCAGCTGTCATCAGTCCCACTTACGGCACAGAGAAGCACCTATGTTTCATGCACATGCCTGCACAGGAACACATGCAGAGGGGAAAAAAAGTCCCTTGGGTATCAAATACAGAAATAGCACTGAAAACCTCATCCTCTGATAGAGTCACTGCAGTGTCTTCCCAGATCAATACACAGCATGCCTTGTGGCAGGATCACCATCGCATGTGTATTGCTTACTTTCATTTCCATCTTAATCTATCAGCTTGCTATCTTGCTTGCTATCTCCAGACTGCAGCAAGGATAAAAACAATTCAGTTTACAAGAAGCACAGCACCGTGTGAACCCGCTGTGTGAAGTCCTGTATTTATAGAAATGGCTATAAATAATAAAAATCTGCAGGGACTGCTGACCCACATACACACTGTATTTTCTGAATAGGGTATATGTATTAAATCTGCAAACTAAGGACTGTGACACCTCTCACCTCGCCCCTTTTCCCTTTCCCTCAGTTTGGTTTGGGAGCTCAGTACACCACAAAAATAGCCTGGTGGAGGGAAGGGAAGGGGGTAAGGGAAGAGGCGGAAAGGAAACGCAGAGAGAAGCAGCTTTGCCTTCCATTGTTAAAGCCACAGCCCACTCACAAATCATGTTTCCAGCCTGCAGAGCGAAAAGCACAGAATCGCTAGCAATGAGGTACATAAGCTCTTCATATCAGCATTGCTGCTTTGAGTAATTGAATTATTCTGTGGAGTAATTTGACAAGCCGACAGGCTGCCCATCAAATGAGAACCAGAACGCATGCCATTTGCGAGACAAGGCAGCAATAAGCTTTCAATCAGTTTCCAACAAGAGCAATTCAAGTGAGGTGGTGTATTAATGGATTTTTTCCTCTGAAAAGCCAAGAAGCGACCATTAGCTGCACTTTCTGAAAGGGAGGGAGCAAACTGAGGGAGGACAACTCATCGGCCCCTTTCACAGTTTCAACACTCAAGATAAATGAAAAAGAAAATGTAAAAAGTTAAACAATGGCCAAGAAGTAGTTTTATCAAATGCATACAGGGGCCCAATCCAAATCTCAGAAAGACTTTCAGTATTGATTTTTGTGACTATTAGACCAAGGCCTAAAATGAAGTGAGATTCTGCTTGCCAGGTCATGAGAAGATAACTTAAATGAGCTACACAGTAATGAGAAAATGCCAAAGGCAATAGCGAAGCTTACTGTTTTCCTCCAGTTGACCAACAGTGCAGTAAACCAACTTAACACTGCCAGTCTAAGTACATCTCTAAAGTCACTTGGGGGGGGGCGGGGGGGAAGGTAAGTTTAACCTGGAATGCAAAGACACCACCTTGGTTCCCACACAGGAGGGGCAGGGACAGCCTGGCAGGGTCATGTCCTGAAGTTCCAGGTAAGAGAAAAAAAGCACAGGACATGTTTGTGGGATCGGTCTGATGTATCATTTCTATTTTGTGAAAGCCTGGGGAAGGATGCGTTATACGGTGGGACTGGTGCCACTTTAGAGCTGAGGTTAAAAAAGGTGCTGTGCTTCAGTGCAACTCCCTGAGTTGCTTTCATCACCAAATAAAAAAAGATTTGCTTTCTCCAGTGTGGTGGGAACAGGATCAAAAGTGGATTCCAGCTACACCTCAGGGTAGCAGTTTAGCACGTGCTTAACTTTACATGTATGCTTAAATCCCACCAACTGGCTATTAAGTGTCACATGGATCCCAGAGATCTAACCAAACAAACAAACAAAAAACCCCCACCCAGAAAATACTACACTCCATTTTTCACTCCTGAGAGACGCAGGGTTCACATTACACGTTATGGTCCATACGTCACCCAGTGAACTTGCCAGACTCCAGCCGGGAAGCCAGAACATTTGTCCCCTCCTACCCCGAGGTGGCTGCCAAAGCAGTGGCATAGCAAGGACAGCAAGCTTCCAGTTGGGCTGACTGTACCTGCAAAACCACTGACAGCACTCACGGGAAGAAGTGTTCAGCTCTGCCACTGAATGGCAGCATCCTAGATTTATCAGGCTGCTCCCTACAAGAAACAATCCCGACTGCCTGGATCTTGCCGATGCAAAAGCATATTTAAAAACGAAGTGTTTTCTAGCAAGGGAAACAGGGCTTGAACAATAATAATCTCACTGGATATTTTCCAAGGCAGCTGAATATTCCCAGTAAGCGTGAACAGAAGAACACTACCCCTATTATTTTAGTAACTAAAAATGCTGGATCATATTTATGAGTGGCCAGAATTTATTTTCCCCTCAGTGAAGGGAAATGCTAACAAATGGCAGGAACACTTGTTCCGCTTGGGAGTATTTATCAGCTACTGTGCTTAAATCCTCTAGAACGAAGCTTTCAAAGTTGATCTACAAAGTCTGTAGGATACAAATAGAAAGCCTGCTCCTAAAGAAAACACCAGCAGAAGCCGACACTGAGCTCTTGTAGGCACAGTATGAGGTCTCTGGGGCAGGTGCTGCTACAAGAGACCATAAACCACAAAAATGAAAACAGAGAGATCATGGGGAGAGTTTTTCTAGGAAGTTAAGGCACCCCAAGGTACAGGCAGGTACATAATAGGATTTTCCAAAAGTGCCTAAATGAACCATAGACCCAATTATCCTCTCAGTGGGAATCACGGCTAGATGTCCAACCCAATAGAAAACTTCTAATAATTCCACTTGGCAAAGTGTTCAGGTATCTCACTATCTTCCAAAATCCTAGACCTTGCATATAGCTAGATATGTGTAAGTAAATATATGCCAATGCCTTGATTTGCACACTGCTGACATAGTATCAGTTGGTGGTACTAAGCAGGTGACAAACTGAAAGCTGCTTGCTTGAAGCTTGATCTGAGCTAACTGGCTTTGTAAACTCTGGCTTCAAGCAGTAAAAACATTCTTGAGACTGTAAAACAACAGGGGTTGTAGCCACTGCAGTAGGGACCACTTCTGTCAGGCCCATTCGTATCTCTGGAAGAGCGATTCAGATGCTCAGGGTACACAAGACATATTGTGAGGGTAGCGGATATGACACAGGGTCCTAGATATGTTGGGAGATGTGTACCCTGCCAGGGCAGTGGCTAGAGGCTATGCAGTAAAAACTGGAAGTCCAAGGGCACTGAAAAGCTACATTTAAGTAACAGACGCTCATCCACTGTATTTTAAGCCTCAATGAGCTTTACATAAAGGTACTCAAAACAGAAGATTATTGGTACAATGGTAATTTTATGTCCTTCCAAAAGCATTCACCTTCTTGACTTTTAAATGAGCTCCCTTTAGGACAAAGAAAAATACCAATAAATGGTTCGCACTAGAGTTGACATTAACATCTTTTTGACAGTCTCAGCAGTAAGCCTAACTACAAAAGCAAGTGTTAAAACAAAACAACCGATCCACACACACACACAGAACAGGCCTGTTGGTGAAGAAGGTCCAAATATACACAATAGCACATTACAGATGCTAATTATTGTTGTAACATACAACTGTTTAAAGAATAAAAATTATATGCTATCTCTCTTCTACACATTCTTGGAACTACTTGTAATAATGTGAACTACGTAGATTTATTGTTTCGCTTTGACATTGAATATGCAATTTGTTCTTCATGCCAAGAAAAATAAATAAATCACTACATGAACAATAATTTCTACAACAATATGATTAATAGTTTTAGATCTGTCACTTCATACAGAAGTTCTGCAATTATTTTCCTTCTTAATGAATGAGTTTCCTTCAGCAAGACAAAAGGCTAAGAAAAACAGTCACACCAGGTTTGTTTCTTCCAAAAATTATTTCTTCACTTTCATCTTTCCTTCCTCTGTATCGGTACTGGATCTCCTAATTGCCCTTTTCCCACACATTTCAAGAAGCATCGCTAATTTGTAAGTGGGAATGCACAACAAATCAGGAATGCTTGGACAAAGCTGAGACTCAAGTATTTCAACACTGTGTCACACGTGGGGAACTACAGACGTACTACAGACCCTGCTTCAAAAAGGACCTGCCATGCAGAACACTTCCGTTTTTCCTGTGGACCTTTCCATGCTCACACAAACTACTGAACAGCCAGACCTTATATACATGTGTTAACAGTAGCAGACAACTTCAGGTGACAGGACAGGTACGGATAATAGTTTCCCCAATCATTTCACAGCTATCTGTACTTCTTGTAGTGTGCTAGCATTACTCGACAAATGAGACACATGTTCTTCCTTCTCACTGGCCCTCCATTATTTTTTCTAAGATTGAATTCAATGGTTACCTGCAATCTACATCACACAGGTAATTACAGGGATCTGTTCTGGGGTGATGTTATCAGCCTAAGTAACTGGCTGTCTCTTTCTCACTCTACTGTCAATACCTGCAGCCTTCCTGGGGCCAGCTTACCAAGCAAGCTACTTCTTAAAAAGCCTCATTTAAATTTTAAGTTGATGTCAAGATACTTTGTGAAATATGGGGATAAATCTCTTTTCTTTGCTCCCAGTTAAAGGACTCTGGCTATGTATTGCTCTCTGATTCGGGTATCGGACTCTGCCTCACCAAAGTTTGCTCTATCAGAAACTGGTTAACAATACATAGGGAGAGCACTTCATGAAACACTAATATTTTTTCAATTCTTTAGCATCAAAGGTAAAAAGGGACTACATTTGTTGACTATGCTTTTGGTTTGGTTCACATGTATTATGATAGCAACCTGTATTATCGATAGCAAATGCACAGCTTGAGCTAAGTATCACTATTCAGCTGACACTGCACTGTATGTTATTGTTTTCAATGACCACTATCCACACACTATCCACATGTTAATGCTTGTACCGCACCAATTATCAGGTGATACCTATCACAAAGCGCATATATTTGTACCAATGACTACTAGAGCCAGGTTAGCTTGCCCACACAGACCAATTTCTTTTCATTCTGGTCCAAAGGACCAAGTGAATCAAAGCAAGAACAGCAGCTGCTCTGGGCACCATAATCCCACTGGGGAAGCTGAGGAACCCAGGGAAGAGAAAGACCCCACAGAAAACATTTAATACACAGAGAAACAGAAGTCAGACAAGTATGCAATGAACTTCCTTTACATCCACCATTCAGACAGAACATACCTCCTTGGCCATGTCAGTGTATTTCTGCTTTTCTTTTGGATCTAGAACAGCCCACCAATCTGCCAAGATCTTGGTTGCGCCACGATTATCAAGGCGAGGGTGTTCTTTTCGCACGAGAGAACGATGGCGTTTGCAGAACAAGAGAAATGCATTCATTGGTCGGCGAGCTCGTTGCTCTGAGGACTCGTCATCTTCGGTTTCATCAGCATCCTGCTCCAAACCGTCAGCGCCAAGGAGCGGCACCTAGGAGAAGCGAAAGGGAAGGGGTGTAAACTCAGTTATCCACGCTTCTTACGGAGACTGAGAGTCTGTGTATGCTGTGTGTGAACGAGGGAGATGCACATGGATACACACAGCTGTCTCCAAAGGCCATCCGTTCTGTCCAGAAGACCAGGAGTCCTACATCACACCTCCTCACCTGACGGTCCAAGGTTCATTCATGCTCTCTGCAAGACTTAAACTCTGACTTGCAAGTGGAGCAGATTTCTAAGCTGAGGACCATTCTCTAGTAAACAGTCCTAAAGGGGCTGGAGGGAGGAGACCTTCCTACCCCTTTCCCACAACCTAGAAATCATCTCAGTGGGATGAGGTGAGCAGAGCTGCTTTGGACCTCAATCACTTGTGTTTGCAACTACACAATGCGTAGGAAGGAAAGTGCATAGGTAACAGTTGTTCCCCCATCTCCTGCCATTCATTACTTGGCCCGTGAGCTGTGCTGCAGTGCAGCCACTGCACAGCTGCTCAGTCGGAGCCAGAGGGCAAATCTCAACATAACACACCACCAAAATATGCTCTCTCTGCTCACAGACCAGCCTATCATTCCTGCAAGGAATGCACCACAGAAGACTAGTTCTGACTGAATGAAACTTATTACTGTACGAGACAGAAAACCATCTCCTACCTAACTGCAACATGGCTGTTTTATGCCACATTGTGGCAAGTGACCTGTAAGGTCAATAGAAAGCACTCTCGGAGTATCAGGCTCCTCCTTGTTGCTCCTTATCCTTGTCAAGGTCACTCTTCCTTATCAGTACGTGGCTCCAGGCAGTCTCCTCAGCACTGACCTCTCCCTTCCTGCCTTAGCAAAGCATCAAGGAGATGCAGATATGAACGTTATCCACATGATGGAAACATCACGTCTCCAAAACCCATCACCTCCCATTCCCATTTCTTGTTACAGAGGATGAGTCTAACTGTACATTTGTGAGATGCCACGTTGTGGGATCCTTACGAAAAAAGGGTAAGGCCAGCATCACTGAACAATACCAAAATACCAAGCATCAAACGAGAGAGATTATTCCACCTGTGCTCCCAATATTCTGGAGGATAAGTTGAATTTCACATGCAAAGACAGTAAAAATTGCTGACAGCTTTTTCTTCTTTTTCTCTTTTAATGTTTGTATTTTTTTAATCTTTAAAAAAAGAAAGGAAAGTATTAGCGTGGTATGTCCTCAAAGCCACTAGAAGCAGCTATTAAGCACAGGCCAACTTCATGTCTAAAATGAACAATTAGAAAGCGTGAACAGAAAAACCCACCTTGAGCAAACCCACCTTGAGCAATCAAGACCAAGATGTGTAACATGTTATCAAAACAACCTTGTTAAAACTCTTACAGTCTAACTCTAAAAACCAGAGTTTTGTCCGAGATTTTAAAAGCGTGGTTGACAACTGTTTTTGTGTTATTTGCTATTCACCTTTATAGCCTTATGGGCACAGCATCACTTCTTTTAATTGGCTGTGTTTGTTCACAAAAGAGAACAGCAGGAAGCAAACAAAACAAAAACACAGCTAGGGAGAATCTGACCCACCATTAACCTTCTACGGTCAAAGCATCCAATGAAGTCTACCTTATCAATATCTTCCTCTTCCTCTTCTTCCTCCTCCTCTTCAGAGAAGTCAAGGAGTTTCTTGGCAAGCAGGGGATGCCACTGAAGACACTTTCTTTTTGGTCGCTTCCCAGTTCCTTCTCCTTCTGTCGAATGATCCTTATTCCTACTACTGCCTTTCATTACTGTGACCTGTCATGCAAAAACAGTTGTAAGTTCACAACAAACCCTTAAGCATAAGTGACCATCATATAGATACTTAAACCAGTGACAAATATGTGGGGCACTAATGCAAGACTCTTACAAGTTTTTTGGCAAGGTAACGGAGAGAGGTTTATTCCAATTATCAACAACAGCATGGAGTATCTTTTCCAATCTCAACATTTCCACCTAATGCCCAGATTAACTAGCAATACTCAATTTAAGAGCACGAAGCAAGGACACCAGCCAGTCCAGCTCTCGAATATGCTCCTGTCTGAAGGATAGCATAAAAGCCCTCACACTTCACTGGTCGAGAGAGTGAGAGACTCTACAGCTCTTCCACACCTGTGTCCACTGTAGTTTTTCATATTTTGCCACTGAAAATGTCGGATATCCCTCTTTTTAGCAGTAGAGCATATTGCCAGCCACTCATCTGTTAATCATGCACTTAGATATAGCAATGTTGATGCAGAACCCCGTGACACTATGAGCTAGGATTTCCCAAGTGCCATTAAAAGATGCAATAGAGGAAACCTGACTCCCTGCCTAAGAGAAGTGGATTTTAATACATGAATTTGAAGGAAGCAACCAGAAGTAGTTACCCTGACACTTCCAAAGTACTCATCAACAAGAGCCCCCGCACAGCAAACAAAACAAGCCATCCGCTGAACCAAGTGCACGCAGAAGCTAAGTAATACTTACACACCTATCTTGTGTGTGTGCCCTCATCTACAAAATACCCCAGAACTACCTCTCAGAAAAAATACATGTTTAACACATGCTAACTACCAATTTAAGGGATAGCTTAAAGAGCTAATACCCAAGTAAGGGGCGAATAAATATATAAATAAATAAAGCCAGCACATCACATCCAAGGACCGAAGCCCACGGGAAGCAAGCACTGCTGGCACACAGTCTGGTCCTTCGTAGCCTTCTGTTTACACTGTGTACTGTCAATGGATAATCCTGACAGGAGCATGGCTGGCTTTCCAAGAAAACAACACAAACATCAAAACGAACTGACACTGGACAGCGGTTAGCCAGCTAGATCTTTATAAAGCCAACTGAAGTCCCTGAAGTCTCACAGGGACTTCTCGCCAGCAGGATGAAGAAGCTGGGCTAAGTCCTGGTCCTGCAGGTGAAGCCAGCAGAAGCTCTGTTGTTGACTCTCAGGAGAAGGGCATAAAAAGAGGTCGAGCCTTGTAACTGCAAGGCCACATCGCATTTTAGGATGCTGCTGTCTGGAAGATGCCTGCTGGAGCACTAATGTTTCAGCCTACAGTGGCAGAAGAGAGAGCTCTGACACCTGCACTTACACCAGTTGCCCAAGCCCTGGTGCCACTGTCAAGGTGAATGCCTTACCAGAACCATCTCACACAGCAGCACTCAGTAGCTACAGCTCATACAGCTCCGGCCACGCTCCTATATATCCCACCCATTTAGCAATCACTAATTCTGCTTTTGGCTGATCTCTTCCATGTGTTTCTTGTTGGTTAACTCACTGGCATTTTGGCCATATGCCCTGTTTGCACCAGAACTGTGTGTAAGCAGCTCCTTCCCCCACAGACTCCAACAGCACAGAAAGCTGAAGGACCTTCAGACACTGCTTGCTGGAGGAAACAACTGAACCCTGAAGGAAGCAGGTTCAGAAATTTTAACTGACGTTTAAAAATGGCATTTTCCTGGATGTGTATTAGATTTTGTTAGTTCTTCTCCGCTCGTCAGCGGTACCTGGCCCCCACCAGTTAAGGATGCCCTGTAACTTCATAGCAGCTTGCCATTAAGCTCCACACTTTGCTGTCCCCATCACGCCGCTTCCACCTGGAACACATTTAAACTTTGATTTCACAGCACCCGCTCCTCTATTCATTTTCTGTAACCAACTCCTGTCTTTTCAGCGAGTATTATATGGCACATAATCATGCACCATTTCACCTAAATCTTTGTCTGTGACTTGCAAAGCAGATCCAAATACACAGAAACAAACAACTTTGGCTTTAAAATAACATTAAAGTGTGGAAAACTCAAGCCGCAATCCAGTATCACAAAATGCAAGTTTGACATTGTTTCTGTCCCACCGTGACCTCTGCCATGTACCATACTGCACTGTGCTACCCATCTGTCTCTCTTCCTAAAGTGCTGAACCACCATTTGCTTTTGTTTGGGGTATTTTCAGACACAAATCAACAAAGTAGCTGAGTTACTGTTTGAGCAGGAACTTCAGCTCCTGTGGATAGCAGAGATTCGTTAAGTCTCGGAGTTTGTTAAATTACACAGATCTGCCCATTACTGTAGTCAACAAAGTACGTGGCCTATTTCTGAGCAGGATAAGTGCGCTACAAGTACGACGGGGAGTCAGCTACTCCAGCCCTTACCACGGACTTATCTAGGCAAGCTAATCGTACGGTTTCTGCCTACAGTCAGTCCTAAGTAAGATGAGTACTACTAGTAGCCTTCTACCTCGTTAGTGTGAAGCTAAATTAATGTTTGAAGAGTGCTCCATGATCCTCCTTTACAAAGCTCAGCTGAAGTCTCAGTGCTATTTCGACAACAGCATTGCCTTTAGCTGGCACCTCTCTGCCCGCTGCCCTTCTAAAGATGAGCAAGACAAAACTTCACAGGACTTAAGTGATCCCACGGTGTATCTTACACGTGTCTTCCATCACCCCTGAGGCCCTGCCTATGCTCTACGCTGAGCTTGGCAAGGCAGCACAGACCCTAGGTACCGGTCACCTTGCAAATCCCAAAGGGGCTCTCAGTACGTTATGTCTCTTTACTACTGCCCAGCTCATGAATAATTTTTGTTTTCCATGCATGAAGGCTAGGTATTGAACACCCAGTTACCCCTAAAATAAATTAACCAGAGCTCACTGCACATTCGTGCTAAAACAGAAACGTATGCTCAGCTCCAGGAATTCAAGAGTATTTTCTTAAATTGTGAACCATTTTACCCTGATTGTCACCCTGAAACAGCAGTTCTTCTATAAAGAGGCTGTTTGGCAAGACCGGTCATTACCCTATCAGCTGAACAAGCATTTAGGAGATCCAAGACACAGAGTAAGTCAGATCCTGGCTGTTATACAGGCACCATTTACTACAGAAAGACACACAGTCGCTCTTTGCTTCCACTTCAGAGTGAATCTCTGCATAGGTCAGCAACAAAAATCCTCCTGATTTAACCTCACTGATGGAAGGACTGAGGCCACACACTGACTTCAAACTTTACTTTTACAGCATGGCCTGGAAGCCCCCCGCCCCTTAAATATGTCAAGCTATTTACTCTGACCTCTATGCCCTCTCTTCTTTCCCATAAAATAGGGGGTCATTCATAACATGAACAGATAAACTATTTCAGCTCCTATTTTTCAATATTTCTGTGTTTCCAAATCCTTTTCCCCCATTTTTGGTTATGCAAGTTCTCATAAGTTTTGCCCTACATTTCAGAGACTTTTTTGGTGTTCACTTTTTGCTGATGCGTCTCTCAGTCAAGTGTAGGATTGGCATAATGAAAAATGTTCTAATTCTCTATTACATCACATGGGGCTTTTCCTCTTAAAAAAATGGATGCTGACATAGTACAATGAACTTGTTTTCCTTCAGATTGCTTCATCTTCCATATTACTACCACCACACTTTGTGGGCATTTCTGTCATAGTTGTTGATATATTCACATACAATTATATAGTTATGAGAGAAGCTGTCCCATAAAAAAAAATCCAGTCAAATGCAAAACACAGCTAACATGGACACTTTCATGTTTTTGTATGGAAGATTTTGGCAAGACATAGCATAACTACTTAGACAAGACACTCCATGGACAAGTGAATGCATGTATGATTAAATGACAGCGCAAGTTTACTGGCATTATTTACTTGTTTAATGGCAAAACATCAACGGAATCCATTTAGTGGACTCTTCAGATTCTATTTATCTGATTTTTTTCCCCCTCGACACATCAATAGCAAGTTAGCTGCTTGTTTCGTATGGGAGATGGGAAGCTGGCAGATGGAAGCAAGCAAAAATACCAGCTCCTTCTCTCCTTCTCAGGGATCCCCAAGTGCTGGCAAGCATCTCTACTAGCAAGCTTTTGAAAACAGAGCTGGGCTTGGACCCTACAAGAACTGAAGCATGTGTTTAAGCTTCACCATTAAATAGTTCCACAGAAAGTCACAGAACAAGTCATGGGCAGTCTTTGCATGATTTGGGGCTTAGAAGTATAGAAGATACACAGCACCCAAAGTACAAAGTTTGTAATAACTGGAATTTATGAACCATATAACAAAAAAAATGTAATTTCTTCTACAGTATCAGTAAAAGTATCATTTATCTTTCAAGGCAGATGTAATTGGCTTTTAGAAGTCCACAAGAGGAGAAACAATTGAAACCAGCTAACAAGATTTTACAAGGTATTTCTCAGCTTAAGGATGACAAAAAGTGTGACAGACACTAGGTAGAAAGTAGGAATATTCCAACAAGACAAGACAAAAGTATGGACAGCTTTGCTTAAAATAAGCCACACATGCTTTATAACATCACCAGAGGATACCTGTCAAGGCTGACATTCATGATCCACTGACAGCAAGCGGTACCTTCAGGGTGATGTTCTACACCTACCTTTAGTTCAGATACAGATCAAACGTTACAGATATTACACCAGTAAAAAAAAAAATTAACTTTTTTTTTTTCTTTTTTTTTTTTTGTGCTGGCTGTATTATTTCCTTTCTGGTCCTGGAAACATTAATCAAAGAATCACAGTTTTCTTGGATGTCTTATAAATACATATACCTAACAGGGCTTCAGAGAAAAATATTAAGATTCCTTAAGGAAAGAGCTGGATGGTGGTGGTGGTGGGAACAGGGAAAAGCATGACTGTAGCTTTTTACGGCATACATTTCTATTTCAATTACACAACTGTATGCAAGCCTTAATTCTTTAAGTGTTCATTAACAACAAGTGTTTGATCGCCTTCATTAACATTAAATTTTGTTTTC